ACGCAAAGAGATGGTTTCGTCCACCTAAAATAACCTTAGTTCTCTGTATCTTTGTTACTGGTAGATATTTAACGAGAAATGTGCACAGGAATGTTTGATTTTGAACTTTAAAAAACAGGTTCTGAGTTAATGTCGGAAACGCAACCACAAAGTCGATATTCAGCTGAAAATTGAATGATGTTTGTTTTCTTTGCTCTGTGTCAAAGTAATCTGGTCGTTGATTTAAAATGGTTATCATCTTTACTCGTTCAACCGTTCAAAAATTTGCCACAGCCGTTCGGCCGTTCACCGTCAGCCGTTCAAAATTTTTCTACAACCGTTCAGTCGTTCACTGTCAGCCGTTCAGCCGTTCACTGTCAGCCGTTCAAAACTTTTCCTCAGCCGTTTACCGTGAGCCGTGAGCCGTTCAAAAATTTTCCACAGCCGTTCAGCCGTTCACTTTGAACCGTTCAAAAATTTTCCACAGCCGTTCAGCCGTTCACTTTGGACCGTTCAAAAATTTTTTTCAGCCGTTCAGCCGTTCACTTTGAGCCGTTCAAAATTTTTCTTCGGCCGTTCAGCCGTTCATGTTAGCCGTTTCAATCGCCTTGGCCATCCGTTTGTCATCCGTTCACTAGCCGTGCGTTTTGCCGTTCGAACGGATAGCCGTTAGTGTACGTTTTCGCGTGAGAGGTCACATTTTAAGAAAAACAGCTGGCAGGACAATCAGTGAAGATTCAGTGCAGTCCACAGTTTTTCTTTCTAAACAGACTGGATAAAAATTAAAAAAGCAGTGTGACCTTCAGTGTTACTAACTGTATAAAATATTCTAGTGGTGGCAGGAAGCTTCAAGGATAACAGCCACAGAAGAAGTCTTTTGTCCCCACTAACAGAGCCTGCTTGAGAACTTTCTCCTAGCGCTTTGTTATGTCATTATAATGATTATAAGAATCTGTATTTGACAGTGATCAAGCAGGTCGTCCACCATGTCCTTTGGATCCATTTTTTATCATGCCTGATAAATGCAAATGTGTTGACTTCCAAGTATTGAAGCTACAGGAATCTCCAGATGCTGTCCCTAATGGCGAAATGCCACGGCACATGCAGCTGTACTGTGACAGGTATATACTAATTATTGTCATTGTTGACACAAACAAACATACTTCACCTATGATTGCTGCTCAATGATATGTCTGGTGAAGCTAAGGAAAAGTACTGTTAGCAAGATTTCTGCACTTGGAAATGTGTTTCTGGTAGATAACAGGATCTGCCACAAGTCTTGTAGCCTAACGTTTCCCCATTCTCTCTTAAGATCTCATCAGCAATTCTCCTTGCTGTCTTTCATACAATTCTTATGATGTTAGTTTGAAGAATTTGGTTTTGGATCAACTAATTATCCCTTAGCTAATTGATATTTTTCTTTATTCTCATCACTTGTCTGCTTGATATCATGTTGATATTATAACAAGAAATTATGTCTTGGTCACTCATAGGAGTGAAGGCTTAAGCCCATCACATCTGCAGAACTGTAGTTATTGATTAAAGGTGGGCTCCAACTTGCTTTTTTTTTTTCCTCTTTTCAAGGTATTTGACAGATAAGGTTGTTCCTGGTAACAGAGTCACTGTCATGGGTATTTATTCAATCAAGAAAGTTGCTCAGAAAGCTGACAAGGTAAGATGCTAAAACTCCCAGATCAGATAGTAAAAATTGTACTTCATTAGTACAACACCTGTCAAGAGGGCCTTGAGGTATTGTCATAACATAAAAACATAAAATCAGAACTAACATTATTAGAACATTTTTATTTGATGCTTCCTTTTCTCAGGTTAGTTGATTTCTAGTATTGCAATGAATTAGGAACATAATTTGTTGTGTCTTAACTTCCTTTGTTCAACCAGGGAGATATAATCTAAGGTCATAAATCAAAGTTGTCCTTACATGTTGAAAAACAGTTAAAGCTACAATTTCAGTCTCTGTAACTCAGAGCAGGGAAAGGATCATGAAGCCAATACCTAACAATCTTCGCTTTCCTTTCATCAGGATCGTGATGGTGTGGGTGTCGGTATCAGGAAGCC